CCAAGGACTGGTCTCACCTTGCAATATGCCCAAAGTGTATCAGACCAAGCTTCAGAAGCCTTGCCTCCAAGGAGCAGCCTTCTCACCCTCTCTAGGATGAACCTGATTGTTCTTCTTGCAGTCCGTGGTATATTCAATACTCTTCTCCAGCATCACAGCTCAAAGGTATCAATTCTCCTTCTATCATCCCTGGTCAATGTCCAGCTTTCTGATGCATAACAAGTACTTGCAAACACTATGTGGCCTGGATCAGGCACACCTTAGTCTTCAGACTGACATCATTGCTCTTCAGTACTGTGGAGAGGTCTCGAAGGTATATAAAATCCTTTAGGGGTAAGACCATAAAAATAAGCTATATTAAACCAAATTTCTCCGTGGAGGCAAGGATTTTGAAGCTTGGTCTCACATACTTTGGTCACATGGCCAGGAGAGACCAGTCCTTGGAGAAGGACATCATGTTTGGAAGGGTGGAGGGACAATGCAGGAGAAGACTCTGAGTGAGATGGATTGATATATACCTGGGGCAGTGGGGGTCGGTATGTTGGAATCAGTGAGACTGGCTCGAGATAGGGCAGGCTTTAGAGCTGCTGTATATAGGGGATCACAGGCAGCTCAGACACATAATAACAACAACTCTGTCAAGTAGAAGCAGTGGGGGTTTCTACTTCAAAACTTGAAAGGTTTTCTGGCATGTACTAACTGTTGAAGTTAGTGATGCCTTCATAAATCCCCACCCTCTTCTGTTTCACAGGGACCTAACCAAGGCTCTTACTGAGTTTATGGAATTATTGACTGGCTTCTTCTATTTACCAGTCCAAGAACCACATCTTTTTCTTACCTCCGAAACTCTGGTGGTCAACTGTTAAAAAACCTGTCAATTCAAAGACAAGTGATTTAATCCTCCTGCTGCTCTGCAGGCAGCCAGATGGGCAGTCTCCTCCTGTGTGGCCTACAAGAGCCTCTGAAAACCTGCTGGAGGATCAGTTAAGATTCCATAGCAAATAACAACAGGACAGTATTATCTATGATATGGCTTGTGGTCCAGGAAGTGGTTTCAGATCTGCCGGTACAGTTTCCTGTTTCCTCTTTCTCAAGGTCAGTCAATATCAGGGCAATGTGTTTGACACCCTGGAGGCATAATACACTTGCATCACTGTGTGCTAAAACCATGTGATATTACTGAATTGTTTTAACCTCCAAAGTTGGCATTTTCATGATTCCACTTAATGTTTCCTTTAATTGTTTCTCTGCTTCAACACTATTTTAGGAAAATAAGCCACCATTAAGTAGATAACATCATGATTGTTAATATCCTTTGCAACTCAATACTGATGGCTGAATGTCTAATACACATAACTCACATCCCAAGTCTGACCCAAGTTCTTCATTTAATTAAACACTCTCCAAATCCTCGCCAGTACCAGAAGAAGTCTATTTGTACTTTATCAACCATGCAAAGGTATTTGGCTGTGTGGATCATAACAAATTATCACTAACTTTGAGAAGAATGGGAGTCTCAGAACACTTAACTGTGAACACTTAATTAGGTAAAACCTTTACCTAGACTAAGAGAATACTGTGCAAAGAGAACAAGGGAACACTATAGGGATAAAAATAAGGACAGGTGTGTGAAAAGGTTGTGGCCTTTCTACATAACCTAATGGAGGAAGACTCGTTGCCTGCTAAAACTGAGGAGGACCTGAAGCACTTGCTGTAGAAGGTCAAAGACTGCAGCCTTCAATATGGAATGAAGCTCAACATCAAGAAAACAAAGATTCTTCCCACTGGGCTGAATGGCAGCATCACAATTGACAGTGAAGAGATTGAGATCATTAACAACTTCAGTTTGTTTGGCTCCACAGTCAACACTCTTTGGTACTAGCAGCCAGGAAATTATAAGACAAATCGCACTGGGGAAGTCTGCTGAATAGACCTCTCCAGAGTACTGAAGAGCAACAATGTCAGTCTGGAGACTAAGGTGTGCCTGATGCAGGCCATAGTCTTCGCAATAATTTGCTGTGTCAGAAAGCTGGACAATGAGTAGGGATGATAGAAGGAGAATTGATGCCTTTGAGCTGTGGTGCTGGAGAAAAGTATTGAATGCTAGGAGGACAAACAGGTTCATCCTAGAGAGAGCGAGAGACCAGGCTGCTCCTTGGAGGTAAGGATTCTGAAGCTCAGTCTGACATACTTTGGGTGTGTTGTAAGGAGTGACCAGTTCTTAGAGAGGGACATCATGTTTGGGAGGGAGGTGGTACAGTGCAAGAGAAGAAGACCCTCAATGTGATGGATTGATTCAGTGGCTGGGGTAATAGGAGTAGGTGTTTCAGAGACAGTAAGGTTGGCACAGGATAGAGCAGGGTTCAGAACTATTATACTTGGGGGGCTTTGAGTTGCAGGAGACTTAATGGCACATAATAACATTTAATCTGTATGCTGAGCAAATTATTTATTTGAGAAACTAAACTCTATGAAGAAGAATGTGGCATCAGGATTAAAGGAAGACTCATCAATAATTTTCAGTATGCAGATGGCACAACCTTCTGCAAAAAAAACCCACAAACAACTTTCTGAAAGTGAGGAAGACTTGAACCACTTGCTGCAGAAGGTTAAACACAGCAGCCTTCAATATGGATTGCATCTCAATATAAGGAAAACAAAAAGCCTCACCACTGGACCAATAGGTAATATCATGATGGATGAAAATATTGAAATTGCTAATGATTTCATCTCACTTGTATCCACAATCAATGCACTTCCTACTAGGAGTCAGGAGATGTACTGCACTGGGAAAGTCTGTAATAAAGGGCTTCTCCAAATTTGAGAAGTGATGATGTCAATTTGAGAACTAAGGCGCACTTGATTCCCAGGCCATGGTCTTTTCAGTCACTTGCTATGCATCCGAAAATCGAACAATGAATAAGGATGATAGAAGAAGACTTGATGCCCTTAAAACGTGGTGTTGGAAGGGAGCTCTGGTGGACTATAGGCAAGAAGCTGCACTGCAATCCCAAAGGCACATGGTTCAAATTCACCAGATGCTTCCCTGGAAAAGGAGGGGTCATCTCTTCCTTTGCCAGCTGGATCTGATTCGACGGTTGTTGTTGTTATGTGCCATCAAGTCATTTGCGACTCATAGTGACCCTATGTACAATAGCCCTAAAACCTGCTCTATCCTGTGCCAATCACACTGCCTCTGACACACCCATTCCGATTACCCCAGTCACTGAATTAATCCATCTCATAGATGGTCTTCCCCTCTTGTGCCATCCCTCCACCTTCCCAAGCATGATGTCCCTCTCCAAGGACCTGTCCCTTCTTGCAACATGCCCAAAGTATGGCAGACAAAGCCCCAGAATCCTTGCCTGCAAGGAGTTGCTTGATTTAATCCTCTCCAGGATGAATCTGTTTGTTTTCTTGACAGTCCATGGAACATTCAATACTCTTCTCCAGCACCACAGCTCAAAGGCATCAATTCTCCTTCTGTCCTCCCTAGTCATTGTCCAACTCTCTGATGCATAACAAGTGATTGCAAAGACCATGGCCTGTATCAGGCGCACCTTAGTCTCCAGAGAGACACCGTTGCTCTTAAGTACTTTAGAGAGGTCCCTAACAGCAGACTTTCCCATCGCAATACGTTATTTGATTTCCTGACTGCTGGTGCCAAGAGTGTTGACCCTGGAGCCGAGCAAACTGAAGCTATGAACAATCTCAATCTCTTCACCATCCATCCTGATGCTACCAATTGGTCCAGGGGTGAGAATCTTTGTCTTCTTGACATTGAGCCTCAGTCCATACTGAAGGCTACAGTCCTTGACCCTCTGCAGCAAGTGAATGAAGTCCTCCTCAGTTTCAGCAAGCAGGGTTGTGTCATCTGCATAAAGCAGATTGTGAATAGATCTTCCACCAATCCTGACGCCACACTTCTCATAGAGCCCAGTCTCCCAGATAATCTGCTCTGTATACAGGTTGAAAAGGTATGGAGACAGGACACATCCATGGCGTACACCCTTCCCAATTTTGAACCATGCAGTGTTACCCTGATCTGTTCTGACAACTGCCTCTTGGTCCAAGTATAGGTTTCGCATTAGCACGATTAAATGTTCTGGGATTCCCATTCTTCGCAGAGTCAGCCACAGTTTGTTATGACCCACACAGTCAAACGCCTTTGCATAATCAATGAAACACGAAGGTACACAACAAGTGGTGTTGGAGAAAAGTACTGAATATCCCATGGACTGCCAAAAGAACAAACATGTATGTCTCGGAGAAGGTGCAGCCAGAGTGCTCCTTGGAGACAAAGATGATAATCTCACATACTTTTGGCATGTTGCTAGCACATCATGCTTTTTTTTTTTAGCACATCATGCTTCGAAATGTGGTCACCGAAGGAGACTCTCAACCAGATTGATTGATACAGTGACTGCAGAAATGGGCTTGAGTGTGTTAGCTTGTGAAGTTGGCGCAGAATAGGACAAGCTTCAGATCCGTTGTTCAGAGGGTCGCTATGAGTCATACACATACGCAGACACTAGCCAGCATTCAAATCCCCGCCACCTGGTTCCAGACTCCTACTCTTTCTAGATTGCAGGCTCTAGGAAAATCTGTCCAAGAGGGTGCAGCAGGTTGACACGTTCTGCAGAGAGCATCGGTGATTCATGAGCCTTAGAGATGACGTGGTGAGGGCGCGGGGTGGGGTCGTGACGTAACAAAATAAACACGGAACACTCGGCACCTGGCCAGAGCTCCCAGGGCCCTCACTCCCGGGACAGGAACCACTTCCGAGTTGCCAGGTCCTAAAATGGCGGGAGAGCGGAGTCAGAGGGCCGCCTCCAGGCGGGGCCGTGGTGACGCACACGGCCGAGGGGCGGTTCTCGCGCCGAAGGCGGTGCCGGCTCCAGCACCCGCGCTCCGCCCTGTCAGCTTGGCCTCGCTCTGACTGTCTCAGCAGAGCCCTCCTTTCAGACCGGTGGCCTGCACAGCCGCTCATCAGAGCCACCATGAGGTCCCCAGTCCGGGGCCTGGCTCCCAGTGACGCCGATGAGGGTACAGACACCACGCCACTCTTGCAGGGCTCCCCGCGAGCCGAAGCCGGTGAGTCGCAGGGCGGTGGAGGGGCTTCGCGGTGGCAAGTGTCCGGGGATGGGTGGTCCTGACCATGGCTCCCGCGCATTCTGCCACAGGGGCCAGAGCTTTGAGCTATGAGGGGCTCCGAGGAAAGAGAGCTCACTGCAGGCCCCGCTTGGACGCCCCGCTTCCCTTGCTGTCCCGGATCCCGGCGGGCTGGCGGGTGCGGGGCGCCGGCGAGGAGCTGCTGGGCTGCGCTGCGCTCCTGGGTTTCTGGTAGCGCCAGGCTGGGGACGCGGTGGAAGAGCGAACAGGGAAAGAAACCTCAAATCGATGATGGGCAGAGAACCGGGAGGAGTTTCTGGCTCTTCCTTGTCAGGGCCAGGACATGTGAACCCAGGGCATGTGAATTCGTAGCTTCTTAGTGGGGAGAGGAGTCAGAAAAAGGACAGGCGTTGATGTTTTTGAGTATGCAAAGGGTTACCATTGAATGAACCAGCAACTATCTAGAAACTGCAGCGAGGAACTAAAAATACTGTCCATACGACTTCACCCCACCCCAGTCTAGCAGTGTACAGTCTGAGTTAGGAAACAATTCCGTTATCCTCAAGTTGGGATATGTATAGAGCGTTCAAGTAATTAACCAAAGATCTTGCAACAAGTAGAAGAGGTACTTCTCAAACTGTCTTCTTGGACTTGAGAAAATTAAAATACTTTCCTCCTCTATACTTTGGTCATATAATTAAAAGTAGTTCAAAGACCAAATCTGCATACTTTCAATGCCTTTCACAGATGTGTACATGGGGTGAGGGGAAAGGTCAAATTGGAAATTTAACTTTTCTTAACCACTAATTCTGTGGTTCTCTCTTTGCTTTCAATGTCACCATTTGGTGGCAATGTTACAGCTCCCGCCGGCAGCTAGCTGGTGACTTCTTATGGCCAACTAAATGTAAACACTAGTGGAGTTATACCTGGAAGTAAGATTTCGTTTCATAAACTGAACTCCTGTCGTTTATTATGTTGCAAGTCTATAATTTTTGTAATTAATGTAGTGTGGAAACACAGAAACAAAAATATAACAAAAAGGTACTCTTAGAGACTGCCACCTTCTGTTAGAAGATATATATGTATGATACATGCTTAAAAGTGAGCCCAAATGTTAAGCATCATTGTCAGGGAAATGCAAATTAAAACCACAATATGGTGACATTACGTAACTGCCGGGATGGCTAAAGTTTACGTAATTGGCAGGGATAGGAGCAACTAGAACTTTTAATACATTGCTGGTAAGAGTGTGAAACATAATGTTTACTAACTTTGTAAGCAAACCAATTAAAAACGTGTAAAATTTCTACAACTCCCTTAGAAAACCATTTCACAATTTCTTTTAAATTTAAATATAAACCACCATATAATCCACACAAAATTTACAGGTGTTTTCTTCATAATAGTTTAAAAAAGAAAGAAACAACCTAGATTTCCCTCAACAGGAGAATGGGTATCAAACTATGGCCTGCCAAGCCAAGTGCTGGACACAAATGATCGAATTTTGTACAATGATTTAGCCATTGCAAATAACTTTTATAAGAAACACAAATGACTGTAAACACAGACTTCACCTGATGGTTTGCACAGGAATCAGATTGATTATATATGTGGAAAGAATCATTGGAGATGCTCAATATCAGCTGTGAAAACTAGGCCAGATACTGATTATCGAACAGAACATCAATTACTCATATGCAAGTTCAAACTGAAGCTAAAGAAAATTTAACCCACAAGAACCAAAATTTGAGTTTCCCACCTGAATTTAAAAACCATCCCAGGACAGGTTTGAGGCCTTGAACACTAAGGATAAAGACCAGATGAGCTGTGGGAAGATATGAAGAATAGTATCCATAAAGAATCCAACAGGTCATTACAAAGACAGAGGAGGAAGAAGAGACTGAAATGGATGTCAGAAGAGACTCTGAACATTTCACTAGAATTCTGAGGAGTCAAAACAAAAGGAAGAAATCAGAAGGTAAAGGAGCTGAACAGAAGCTTTTAAAGGAAAGCTCAAGAAGACAAAGTGTTATAATGAAATATGCCAAGAGCTGGAGTCAAAAAATCCAAAGGGATGAACTCAGTTGACATTTCTTAAGCTGAATGAATTGAAAAACGAATTCAAGCCTCAAGTGGCAATACTTAAGGATGCTATGGGCAGAATATTGAATGACCCAGGAAACATCAAAAAGAAGATGGAAGGAGTATACAGAGTCACTGTACTAGAAAGAATTGGCTGACACAGAAGAATGTCATGAAACAACATAGGTTCATGAGGCAATGATGATGAAGGAAGAAGGTCAAACTGCTCTGAAGGAACTGGCAAAAAATGAGGCCCCAGGAATTGATAGAATACTAACTGACATATTTCAACGAACAGATAGATACTTCCCTGGACATCCTCAATAGATTGTGCCAAGAAATCTGGAAGACAACCTGGCCTCCTGACTGGAAGAGATCCATAAATGTTGCAGTTAAGGAAAAATGGTGTTCTAACAGTGTGTAAGTTATTGAACAATGTCATTAATATCACATGCAAGCAAGATCCTGCTGAAGATTATCCAAAAGCTACTGAAACAGTACATCAACAGCGAACTACCTGAGATACAAGCTGTATTTGAAGAGGCTGTGGCACTAGGTACATCATAGCCAATGTCAGATGGACCTTGCCTGGAAACAGAGTACCAGAGAAATGTCTATCTGTGATATGCAAAGGCATTTGACTGTATAGATCACAACAAATTGTGGCTAACATTGAGAAGACTGGTAATCCCAGAACACCTGATTGTGCTCATGTGAAACCTATACTTGGATCAGAAAGCAGTCATCCGAACAGAACAAGAAAACACTGCATAGTACAAAATCAGGAAAGGAGTGCATCAGGGATGCACTCTGTCTCCATATCTTTTCAATCTACATGCAGAACAGATCATCTAGAATGCTGGGCTTTAGCAGAAGGAATGTGGCATCAGAATTAGAGGAAGGGTCACCAATCTGTGTTATGCAGATGACACAACCCTGCTTGCTGAAACTGAAGAGGACCTAAAGTGTTTGCTGCAGAAGGTCAAAGACTTCAGTCTTCAATATAGCTTGAAGCTCAACATCAAGAAAACAAAATTCTCACCACTAAGCCAATGGGCAGCATCATAATAGATGGAGAAGAGTTTGAGATTATTAACAGTTTCACCTTGCTTGGGACTCCATAATCAATTCTCTTGACACCAGCAGTCAGGAAATCAAAAGATTAATTGCATTAGGGAAAATGCTGTCAAGGACCTTTCCATAGTGCTAAAGAGCAATGATGTCAGTCTATTCAACATTATAACAACAACAACCCAAAGGCAGGCAATTCGAATACATAGCTGCTCCATGCAAGAAAGATAGACAGTATCCTACCATGTGATTTATACCCTTAAGATTCATAGGATAGCTATGAATCAATTCTAATGCAACAGCAGCAGCAATCCATACAACAGAATATTTGTAATAAAAAAGTAGCAAAACCACTCTATGAACAACAGTGTGTATGAGTCATAAAGCATGGTGAAATTTAAAAAGCCACCATATCAATGTATGATGCTATTAATATGAAATTCTAGAACATACAAGGCCTGCCAGAGGTTAAGTAATTTACAAAGATTGCACATGGCTGCCGGAGATCAGTCTTCAACATAGATTACATCTCAACATCAAGAAGACAAAAATCTTCACCACTGCATCAGTAAGCAACATCATGATAGATGGGAAAAAGATTGAAGTTGTCAATAATTTCATCTTACCAGAATCCACAATGAAAACCCTTGTTGGTACCATCAGTCTGGAAAGCAGGAGACATATTGCACTGAGAAAGTCTGCTGTCAGGGACCTCTCCATAGTACTGAAGGGCAATGATGTCAGTTTGAAGAGTAAGGTGTGCCTCATTCAGCCCGTGGTCTTTTCAGTCACCTGCTATGCATCTGATAGCAGGACAGTGAATAAAGGTGACATAAGAAGAATTGATACCTTTGAGCAGTAGTGTTAGGGGAAAGTACTGAATATTCTATGGGCTACTAAGAAAACAGATGTCTTGGAGAAGGTGAACCCAGAATCCTCCATAGAGGCAAAGATGGCAAAGCATAGTTTCACACTCTGGGCATGTTGCTAGGAGAGACTTCCTTGGAGAGGGACATGTTGCTTGGAAAAGTGAAGAGTCAGCCAAAGAGATAAAGACCCTCAATGAGATAAACTGACACAGCCACTGCAGCAATGGGCTCAAGTATGTCAGAGACAATAAGGACAGCACAGGATAGGCCAGGATTCAGATTTGTTTATAGGGTTACTTGACTCAACAGTGTTTAACAACACCTTTGTTAAGGGAGTGCTGGTGGTTTAGTGGATAAGGAGTTGCAATTCCAACCCAAAAGACAGCGTTTCAAACCCACCAGCTGCTCCAGGGGAGAAAGTTGGGCAATCTCCTCCTGTATGATTTTCAGCATCTGAAAGGCTGCTGGAGAGTCAGCTCTGGGTCAGTGTCCCCATGTTAAGGGCTGTTAAATGCTGTCATGTCAGTCTGACACATAGCAGTCTTATGTACATAAGAGTAAAAGGCTGCTTGATCCTCTGCCATCCTCATAATCGTTGCGTTGTTTGAGTCTGTTGTAGACATTGCTCAAGTCCCAAGTCATTTTCACCAATGCTGTCCTGCTCTTTGCCAGCACCATAATTCAGAGAGGCTAGTTCTTCTCTTTTTATTCTTCTGCATGCATATGAAGCAATTGAACATTCCAAGACTTGATTCAGACACACATTAGTCCTCAAAGTGGTATTTGCCTTTGACATTTTAAAGATGTTTTGGCAACAAATTTTCCCGATGCAATACACAATACTTTGGAGTTTTTCCTGATTGCCGCTTCCGTGGATTCTGATTGTTTACAACTCATTGAAGTATTAAACTATGTTAAAAACTAGCCTCAGCATTCTCCTAAATTTTAGTCTTTTCTCCA